ACTATGCAAGGCCCGATTTGCCTAATAAGCCAAGTTTTCATGAATTAATATATGTTCTCTATTTTTTTTTCTTATGAAATGATAAAGCCACCCATTTCATTATGTATGAGGTCAATTTTTTTTTATTGGAGTTAGAATTAACGTAGATATATGACTGAACCTAACCAACTCTACCTAACCTAATCTATCTTTATAGGTTAGGTTAGGTTATGTAGCCGAAAAAGTTTGGTTAAGTTAGGTTAGGTAGTCGAAAAAACATTAATTCATGAAAACTAACTTGGGTTATTAGGCAAATCGGGCCTTGCATAGTAGGCTGAGAAGTGCGTTCTGGCTACTAGGTACGACATATATATATATATATATATATATATATATATATATATATATATATATATATATATATATATATATATATATATATATATATATATATATATATATATATATATATATATTTAATAATATATATATATATATATATTGTTATTAAATATGACCGAAAAAGTAAGATTAATAATTCTAACACAAATTTTCTCAATCTTTCTTATGTTTCTTTTCACTGTTGATGGTAATTCAAAGATCAATTCTCCAAAATTCATTTTTATTTCTAATCTGACGCGACACTTGAGCGCGTTTCGTAAAACTTATTACATTTTCAAAGACTTTAGTTTACAAACACACAACTGAAACTGAATAGAGCTTACAAATCTTCGAGGTTTATATCTACATTTGGATGAGGTGAAAAACGAACTTTCAACAATGGGTATTAAATTCCAACACAAGACAGAACACGAAACAATGGGTATTAAATTCAAACACAAGACAGAACACGAAACAATGGGTATTGAATGGAAGTAACTGTAGAAAGCCTATTGGTCCATATTTCTTGATGCTTCTATATTGGAGTGGAGTCTTGAAGTGGGTAGAATATAGTTGTGCATTAATTGGCTGTTGATTGCTGATGTTGACTACTTGATGTGTAGTGCCTCGCAGACGTCAAGCCGCCTGCTATCGCTGTATCTATCGATGATTTCTGTGTTGTTTGTAAGATTAATAATTCTAACACGAATTTTCTCAATCTTTCGTACATTTGTTTTCACTGTTGGTGGTAATTCAAAAATCAATTCTCCAAAATTCACTTTTATTTCTAGTCTGACGCGACACTTGAGCGAGTTTCGTAAAATTTATTACATTTTCAAAGACTTTAGTTATCACATACACAACTGAATTAAACTTACACATCTCCGATTTGTTTATATCTACATTTGAGTGAGGTGGATGGGGTGAGGTGGTATTTAATAAGGTATTAATTTCATCAACACAAGACAGAACACGAAACAATGGGTATTGAATAGAAGTGATTGTAGAAAGCCTATTGGTCCATATTTCTTGATGCTTCTATATTGGAGCGGAGTCTTGAGGTGGGTAGAATATAGTTGTGCATTAATTGGCTGTTGATTGCTGGTGTTGACTTCTTGATGTGTAGTGCCTCGCAAACGTCAAGCCGCCTGCTATCGCTGTATCTATCGATGATTTCTGTGTTGTTTACTAGGATTTCTCTGGCGATGGTTTGGTTGTGGGAAGAGATTATATGTTCCTTAATGGAGCCCTGTTGCTTATGCATCGTTAAACGCCTAGAAAGAGATGTTGTTGTCTTGCCTATATACTGGTTTTTTTGGAGCTTACAGTCCCCAAGAGGGCATTTGAAGGCATAGACGACGTTGGTCTCTTTTAAAGCGTTCTGCTTTGTGTCTGGAGAGTTTCTCATGAGTAGGCTGGCCGTTTTTCTGGTTTTATAGTAAATCGTCAGTAGTATCCTCTGATTTTTGTCTGTAGGGATAACGTTTCTATTAACAATATCTTTCAGGACCCTTTCCTCCGTTTTATGAGCTGTGGAAAAGAAGTTCCTTTAAAATAGTCTAATAGGGGGGTACAGGTGTTGTGTTAGTTGTCTCCTCAGAGGTTGCATGGCGTTTCACTTTCCTTCTTATGATGTCTTCGACGAAACCATTGGAGAAGCCGTTTTTGACGTTCCTTACCCTACAGAGTTCTTCGTCGACTTGCTTCCATTCTGAGCTGTGGCTGAGAGCACGGTCGACATAGGCGTTAACAACACTCCTCTTGTACCTGTCTGGGCAGTCGCTGTTGGCATTTACGCACATTCCTATGTTCGTTTCCTTAGTGTAGACTGCAGTGTGGAAATCTCCGCTCTTTTCCATGACTGTTACATCTAGAAAGGGCAGCTTCCCATCCTTTTCCATCTCGTAAGTGAAACGCAGCACGGAACTCTGCTCAAATGCCTCCTTCAGCTCCTGCAGATGTCTGACATCAGGTACTTGTGTAAAAATGTCGTCAACATACCTGCAGTATATGGCCGGTTTCAAGTTCATGTCGACTAAAACTTTTTGCTCGATGGTACCCATGTAGAAGTTTGCAAACAGGACACCTAGGGGAGAACCCGTGGCGACCCCATCTACTTGCTTATACATATGCCCATCCGGGCTCAAGAAGGGTGCCTCTTTAGTACAAGCTTGGAGTAGTTTCCTTAGGATATTTTCTGGTATGTCAAGAGGAGTACAGGCTGGATCACGATACACTCTGTCGGCTATCATCTCGATTGTCTCGTCCACTGGTACGTTGGTGAACAGCGATTCTACGTCCAACGAGGCTCTTATTCCTGTGGCCCGTGTGCCCTGCAGTAAGTCAACAAATTCCTTTGGCGACTTCAGGCTGAAGGCGCAAGGGACATAAGGAGTCAGCAGGCCGTTGAGTCGCTTCGCTAGTCTGTACGTTGGTGTGGGTATCTGGCTAATGATTGGCCGAAGTGGGTTTCCAGGCTTGTGTGTCTTGACATTTCCATACGCATATCCAGGTTTATATTCCCCAATAATCTTTGGCAGGTGGAGTCCTGATTTCTTGGCGTTCACAGTTTCGATTAGTCTATTGACCTTTGCTTTCAATTCGGCTGCAGTGTCCTTCGTTACCCTTTGGAATTTAGTTTGGTCAGAGAGTATGAGGTTCATTTTCGCCAGATATTCGTCTTTTTTAAGAATGACGTGTATTGGCGATTTGTCACCTCTCCTGACAACTATCTCCTTGTTCTCACGAAGGCTTTTGGCTGCCGCTTTGAGCTCGGGGGACAGTATGGTGCTTCTGTAATTGCCTCGATTCTTTCCTCCTTCCGCAATAAGTTCTGCTTGTAAGGTATCTTTGCTAGTGACCTTCTTTTGTGTCTCGAGGTCGAATATGTCGTCCAACAGAACGACTGTCCAATAGAATACTGATATATAATACAATTTATAGTTCTATTCAATACCCATTGTTTCGTGTTCTGTCTTGTGTTGATGAAATTAATACCTTATTAAATACCACCTCACCCCATCCACCTCACTCAAATGTAGATATAAACAAATCGGAGATGTGTAAGTTATATTCAGTTGTGTATGTGTTAACTAAAGTCTTTGAAAATGTAATAAGTTTTACGAAACGCGCTCAAGTGTCGCGTCAGACTAGAAATAAAAATGAATTTTGGAGAATTGATTTTTGAATTACCACCAACAGTGAAAAGAAATGTACGAAAGATTGAGAAAATTCGTGTTAGAATTATTAATCTTACTTTTTCGGTCATATTTAATAATATATATATATATATATATATATATATATATATATATATATATATATATATATATATATATATATATATATATATATATATATATATATATATATATATATATATATATATATATATATTGTTCTGTTGTAGTATATTAGTCTGTGGAGACATAATTTTATTTTGATTTACATGTGATAGTGCCCTTCTGTTGATTGATATATAATACTGATAATTAACTGAAATATAATTTTAATATACAATTTATAGTTTATGTGTAATTAACTATTCCTGGGGTGATTAATTCTAATTCTTGCATGTACGAACCATGGGTTTATACTGGTGAAACACCTTGAGAGTACAGCATCGTTAAATATCCCTAGTCTAAAATATTTTGTCGCTGTTACGTGTCACGAGCAATAAAGAACGGTTCGTAACAGTCGGGTTCTGGTGACCTGATACTCTTGGTTGGGTTCTGGTGACCTGATACTCTTGGTCGGGACCTGATAACCTGGTACTCTTGGTCGCACCCTGGTGACCTGGTACTCTTGGTTGAGTCCTGGTGACCTGGTCCTCTTGGTCGGGTTCTGGTGACCTGGTACTCTTGGTCGGGTGGTGGTGACCTGGTATTCTTGGTCGGGTTCTGGTGACCTGGTACACTTGGTCGAGTCCTGGTGACCTGGTATTCTTGGTCGGGTTCTGGTGACCTGGTACTCTTGGTCAAATCCTGGTGACCTGGTACTGTTGGTCGCGTCCTGGTGACCTGGTCCTCTTGGTCGGGTCCTGGTAACCTGGTCCTCTTGGTCGGGTCCTGGTGACCTGGTCCTCTTGGTCGGGTCCTGGTGACCTGGTCCTCTTGGTCGGGTCCTGGTGATTCTTCTTAAATTAATAGTAATTATCCCCCATTCCAATGTGCATATTTTGTGTTATAATGTAGTGATCAGTTCCTACGTAAAGTTACATATAGTGTTTTGATAACCTTTCTCCCTCGTATAAACATATGTCATCCCCACAAAAGGACCCTAGCACCTCTGTAACTATAAATTTCGATGAACCTATTTCTCTCCTTCCCTGTCCCTCCAGTTCGAGTCAGACATGACCTATATCTGGCAGGGCTCCCACAGAACACACACGCTTCTGTTGCTCTAGATATTTTACAATTGTTGATAACCACAGTGGACGGTCGGTCCTATGGTTCCTGCACCATTGCTCATAAACGTGGTCCACTTAAAGTAAATTCGAGCAGTTTGTGATAAATAATATTACCATTGTTTTATCATATCATGTGTATTCGTAAATGAAACTTTATTCTTTGGGAAATTTGTATAAGCATATCCTGTATAGAGCTAAATCTGGGTTCGGCTAACTTTATTCTCTCAATAAGAATCAACAGGTCCCGACGAGTGACTGGTTGGAATCTTAGCATCGGTGACGAGGAGCTCGAAGTTAAGTTTCGGGGCGCCCGGCAAACCAGCGAAAACACTGTCCTGATGAACATGACAATCAGAGTGCCGCAGGAGGATTCCACTATCCTCCATCAAACTGGAGATGACAGGCTTTCCGGGTTATTATCGGGTCAGCAAGAAGAGAACGAAGAGCTCATATTTCACCAGAGTAAAGTGGAAGAGTTCCCGTTCCACCAGGGACAAACGGTACACGAATTCCCAATCCATGCTGGCATTCAAGCAGACTATCAGGCCCATGAGGAGGACCTCACGCAGCACGACCGTTTACTCACTAAACACAGTCAGTTCTTCTTTTCAGTCATTCGTGGATAAATTGTTGAATAACCAGTATTTGTTTTGTTCTTGTATGTGCATATGTGACATCGAATTTTTAAGTTGGAAAAATTATAAATATTTGTCTGAGGGGAGCCCCGTCGGCTCCCTGACCCTATCAAACTGACATGTGCCATATTAGTTTGGTGCCATCAGTCCTTGGAGTTAGAGCGCCTACCAGGAGCCACAAGCAAGAACCTGGACCCCCTCAGAGAGGCGCAGGGAACCATGGCCATATAAGCTCTTTACATTTAGAGTTTGTCATGTGTGCCATCGACCAGGGAAAGAACCCTGAAAGGTAGGTGAACCATTGCAAACCTCTAACTGGTTCTCATTGCAACGTAAGTCGGAACAGAGGCCCAGAACCAGCCAATAGAAAACAGTGAAACAAGTCACACGTCATCTGCACGCCCACTCGTTAGCGCCTCACCCTCCCCGACAGTGGGGAGGGAAGACCCCGCATAGGCGAGCAGGAAGCAACACCCTCAGCTCGTCGACTGATATGCCGGGTGTCGGAAGTTCTCTCTGGCCTCAAACTCTTTGTCTAGCTTTGCATTTGTAGCTGTCGAATCTTTTTTTTATAGCGCATTCTCGCTTCGTTTGCGGAGGAATGTGTTCCCCCGGCTCTTGTGTGTGGTGACTTAGTGTTCCTACAAAAATACTGGGTTGGGACCGGTTAGTCTGTGTGTGTTGCTTTGGGATTCTGTTTGCTTATTTGCTTTTAGCACTTTTTTTTGTTCCTCGGATACGTCCTTTCAGAAGTTTCCGTCCTCTCAGATTTCCTTGTGGAGGTTTGAATAGCCCTTCATGCATTCCTCCTGCGAGACCCGGTTTACACCTCATTAATAGATCTGGCTTCTTTTGAGTTTGGTTCTTCTTCCCCATATTTGGTGCGTTATGAGGTTTCAGAGTGTTTCTGGCTAGCATAATGCTCTTTCTTTTTCTTGTGAGCTTGGCGTAGGTTTTGCGGGACCCGCATGATTGAGTGGCCAGAGGTTTCTTTGGTGTTCTTCGGGAGGGGGGGAGGGGTCATTGGAGTTCCTGATTGCGTTTCTTTCACCCCTGTGCTTTCCTGTGCAATGGGGTCTGGAGCAGTTGAATGCTCAAGTCCCCCCTCTCTTTTGGATATCTTGGTGGCAGATGACCATCGAACTCGGGGTCATTTCACATCAGTCTTGCACTTCTTTATCTTCTTGAGCTGTCCTCGGAGTTCTGGTTTCGGCTGCCTTATTGAAGCTGTTTGCTCTGATTATCCGGGAATCGGTTTCCATAATTTTGGCCTCTCGCCTCACGTGTAGGCAGGCCGTCCTCGCTCTCTTTTTAGATTCTGCTTGGGTCCTGGCTTTACAGTTCTCATCTTCATTCTGTTCCGTTATTTCAGGAAAACTGCGTTTCTCAGTTATTGTCAGCGGCTTCTACCAGTTGCCATCCTGTTTCTGATTTGTTGGTTCTCCAGCGGGAGCATGCTGACTCTTCCCAAGGTGGTCGTGCTAGTGCTCATGTTTCAGTAGGCCAAGGTGGGCCTTGTCGCTGTGCATGGAAGTCGGCTTCTCGGAGGTCGCGTTGGACTTTTCTCAGGGAGCTCCGTTGACGCCCCGGCTCTGAATCTGTCTCTTGCTCACGCTTTGTCCAGAGCGAAAGCTGTCTCTGGTCCACACTTGGTCCCCATGATTCGTGTGCTTTTCGTGTCCGTCTCTTCCGGCTATTGGTGGAGTTGAGTGACTCCTCCGGTCAGGGGTTCGAGGCTGGTGGGGCAGGCTTCTTCCCTGACTCTCTGTCGGGTCATCTTAGAGTGGGTTTGCTTGGGCGTGGTCGAAACGATTTTGTCCCTCAAGTGGGTTTCCCGCTTCTTTCCGGTTCCGAAATGGGACTGTGTTGATCTGATGTTCATTCTGGACTTGTCCCATGTGAACCATTGGATTCCTTGCCCTTCCTGTCGGATAACTACTTTGTCCCAGATCTGGCTTAGTAGTGTAAAGTGCGACTAGAACCGCGCGCACCAGCTGCCAGGTGGCACTCCGGTGAGTGGCACCCGACAGGTGGTTCGCAGGTGTCTAGTCACACAGGGTTTTGGGGGATTTTCCCGGAAGTTTGGCGTGTTTCGGACGCGTGTGAGCGTCCTGTGTTTGGGTATGTGGTCAGGAAAGAGAGTAAGTTATGTTGTTGGATGGCAGGTGGTGCGCGTCGTTGCCGTCGCGGCGCGTCGTTGCCGTCGCAGCGCGTCGTCGTCGTCGCGGAGGGTTTGGGAGGGGAATTTCCCGGAAGTTTGGCGCGTGTCGGACGCGGTGAGCAGGTGCAGCCCCTCGCTCTAGACACAAAGGGAATTTCTGGGAAGATGTGGGAATTTCTGGGAAGATGTATGAAAATACAAGGATAAGAGTGGAATATGAGGAAGGAGTTTGTCATAGACTTAATCCTGTGTGATGATGATGATAATAGTTTGATGATCGTGAGTAGAGGATGAGAGGGGATCCAACATAGTGTATATGTTGTTTGGAGAGGGGGGAGAGGAGAACCCCCATACCTGAGAGGAACGCCTGGACGTCCATTAGCTTCCCTACAGGAAGTCGTAAGTGGGAGAGGAGTGTACGAGAGAGCACCCTCCTGCGGAAGTGGGGCCATTTGTCTAAAGGGTTTTCGTTGTCTTCAGAGTGGAGATGTTCGCCCCACGGCGGGTCCTCATACACTGTGGATTCGTTAAGGAGGGGAGCAAAGTACATACGCCAGACCCTCACCTGTCAGCCATCAATCACTCCCACCCCTCATCCCCACCCGCTCCCATACCATCAACCATTGTTCTGTGCATTCCCTTTTAGTATGTGTAAGCTATATCGTAACGTGATCAACATGGTGAGAGCAATAACGAGGGAAAAGTAAACACATTATATAAATTTATTTCTTTATTAAACACTTAAGCGATTTACAGCGATAATAATAATAATAATAATAATAATAATAATAATAATAAGACTTCTTCTTGGTGGTTTAGCTAGCAGACAGATGGAGAAAGGCTTTCATTCAATCCATCGAACCTTCCCACCACGCTAGTCAACCAGCCAATCTCTAGAACGGGTTCAGGTAGTAGTCAGACCGATTGGGAGTCATTCATCCACTCCAACGATCCTTCCCGACACGCTAGTCAATCAGTCAATCTGTAGAAAGGGAAAAGGTTATAAGTTTCGTTGTTGTCAATGTTGTAAACATAAATACAGTCATTATTATGTTCATCATTCAATCCTACATAAAGTATTACTCACCGCAGTATCATCCTAGCCAACTTCGTCACACAGCGATTCACACTCAGCATCACTACCGTTTAAGCAGAATGTTTGCTTACACACAGGCATTTTCATCTGAGCGTAATTGAATTTCAACACTTTTTCATCATTCTTGCGAAAATGACCATATTTAAACGCTGCATCAAAGTGAAGCAGGGCGGCCTCTAAGCCTAGTCTGCAAAAATGATATGCAAAATAAACGGCGTAATTCCCACAGAAGTAACTATTCAAGGATTGAATCCTTTTCTTCATAATATATAGGGTATAGTCTTGGAAGTAAGACATAAACTCTTCGAAATATCTTGAATAAGATCCTGTTGCAGGATTGGCATAGCTGTCTAGTATAACTATCTCGCTTCTACCTTCATCCTTATTTACATAGAATGTTATCCAATGGCCCATTTTATTACGAGAACCAGAGTCCAGAGTGTTCATTATGAACACCACAGGTCTTTTTTTATGTATTTTTATCCTTATTTTCCGTACGTCATCAGCTAGGAAACATCCTAGATAGTCTACCCTAGCACCTAAATTACTTCTGATAGCCACATTTATTTCCAAACAATTCATATTAGTATTTTATCCTCGTGTATCGCAAATAACGCGACGATCCGCGTTAATGCTGATCACACCTGTTGTAGAGCCGTAAACTAGAATGACTTTATTTCTAGCCACTCCGCGTTTAAATTCCAAAGCGATCCGCAGATTACCACTTTTTTCAATCGGGATGGTGTCATCGATATCCTCGGGTTGTAAATTAAAGGCTAGTATGGTTCCACCATTCACATATGTGTCATAAGATAATATATTGTCTATATCGAAGCCTAAGGCTTGTAATGCTGTGTAATACAACTTGGCGCAGTTATGAGGGAAGTCGCACCCAATATTGACAATATTAGTGCTATTCTGCGATATTAATACTTTACTAAGCTCGCAGTTTTCCAAATAAAGCGGGTTGCGATTATATGCACCAGACACCGCCTCCATATCAAGGATGATCATATATAAATGTTCTGGTATAACAGTCCCCCACGGCTGGTCCATTGTTATAGAGCGCTGACCTGTGCCCAATATATACGTTTTGTATAAAGTTTTATTAAAAGTATACGTAATAGGAGAGTTGTTCTGCACCATGGCTTTATTAATGGCTACTAATCCTTCAGGGTATGGCATTACCCGATCCACCCATAGACGTGTAGACTTGATATTATATTTAAAATTAGCGTGTTCATTATCGCTGAGTATAAGCCACTTATCAGGTTGAAGTTCGAGCCTCACCCTGATGTCCACATTATCCAAAACGTATTCACTAACGGATGTGACATCCAGCATTAGTTTAAAACAAGTATTCACACCACTCGTTTTCATATCAGTCATCCGCTGCTTCTCACTAGTCGAGGCATTAGTGAAATAACCAGCTTCAATTTTACCAGGATCGACTCGGTTAAAAAACTGTGACAGTTTATCATAGCGGTTAGCCTTACACCCAGAAATCGTAGATAATAACTTTACGTATGACCAGAATGAGAATAATGAGCTGGTTTCAACTACTGTTTCGTTTAAATACACAATAGCGGATTTGAATAGAGTTTGCGATAATCCATTCACCAACGATGCGTTTTTAGCATCTCCTAAAGGCGTTATTCCATCTTCTTCGGTTAGATCAATAGTCAACTCCAAAGCTATAGATGATAAATCCACCAGTTGACCATTCACTCCCTTGATGATGAATTCCAGATAAGTGTCTGTAAACTTATTATTGACCCCAGAATTCACAGGTAATACATCCACCGTTTGTCTGCTGGCAATTGTTGATTCTACCAATCGAGGGGAAAATACTTTAGGAAAGGCTTCACTAACAGCAGCTGTATAATGTTCTAATGGCACCTGGAGGCCCAGAGCGTTATATCCGGCCATGTTCGCGCTTTAGACAACACCAACCGAGTGAGAAGAAGTTATGACAACACATCATTATATTTCGC